ATACCCAGGAGCTCAGTGCTCCCTGTGGCCTCGCCTGCAGGCGCAGGCTCTGTGTGCAGCACGTACCTCTGCCCTGCCTGTGAGCGATTCAGGGATTGTGAGGAGGGAAAGGTGACCCATGCTGGTTGGGTAGGCTGCTGCACTTGGAACACGACAACGTCAAGTGCACATAATTACTACTAATGCAAGAACACTGTAAGCTGCTACAATTAGGGGGCAGTGGAGCAGTGCCTTTCTTGTTACTGGAGAGAAGGAAAAGCACAGCTAGGCAGCTCAGGAGGCTTTCTCTGCCACCCTGGACACACAATCTGTTCCACTTATTACAATGTGTAACTGTATACTCATTTTGGGATCTTCTCTCTCCCCATGGGCTCCATGAAGTCAGAGACCCTGTGTGTGGTTTCTCCACCTCTGCACACATCTAGGACATAACAGAAATTTAATGACTGTCAGATGCTTTTCAACTCAAGATGAGCTTATAAAACACCCTTAAGTCAAAAATTCATTTACTAAGCCTAAGGTACCAAGCATCCTAGCTTAGCCACACAGTGTGCCACAGAGTATTGATTGTTTCCCTTTGTGATCCCCTGGCTGACTGAGAGCTATGGCTTGCTGTCATGGCCCAGCATTATAAGAGGATGTGTCTACACTTCCCCAGTCCAGGAAAAGATCAAAATTCAAAGTATGAGCTGGAGATGGAAGCGCACACCTGTAATCCTAGCATGCTGGGAGGCTGAAGCAGGAGGATCACAAGTTCAAGCCCAGCCTGAACAACTTAGCAATTTAGCAAGACCCTGTCTCCAAAAAAAAAAAAAAAAAGAAAGAAAGAAAAAAAAAGCTTCGGATATGATTCAGTGCAAAGGCCCTGGGTTCAATCCTCAGTACCGCAATAAATAAATAAATACATAAATACATAAATACATAAATAATCAAAGTGTGGTTTCTACTGAATGTGTACCATGTTTGTACCATGATAAAGTTGAAAAATTCATTGACTTGAACCATCTGTATTTGTTTCATGAGTGGATATCCACAGTATTTCAACTGTAGGATAGAACTTCCAAATATATTTTCTCCATTCACTGAGACCCTGTTCAGCCAAGTTGACACTAAATATATCCTCTATGTTATTCAGATTCAATTCTTATGATACGGAGGAAATTATTCAGTGGCCCATTAATGCTTTATGGAAGGTATGATGGCCATTAAAGTTTAAATATAAAAAGTCATAAACAAAGAGGCATCATAGCTGGTAATCTCATCCATTCCTTGGTTTCCTGAAAAATCTGCACATATCTCATTCTGTATAGATCCATTCGGTTAAATAAAGATGGTTTTTTTGGAAAAAGAGATTTCATTGCCTCTTATGATTTATTCTAATGCTTAACAGCCTTAGGTGTTAAATAAATATTGTTGTTTTTTTGTGAGTTGAACTCAGCAACAAAAATAAAAATTGAAGCTACTAAATATTTGGTATGAGTTATAGCAGCTCTCTTTCGTTTCTGTTTTAAGTTCATTTGTGTTTGCATAAATTAAACTGCTTTCCTTCTAGGACCCAATTTACAGGCAGCTTTTCTACCAGAAGTGAGTATTTTCCCCATGCCAGTTTGATTTTTGTCTCTGTTCAGCAGTTTGAGGTCAATGACACAGGGCGTAACTCAGAGTCTGAGTCACCATCAGATCGCTGTTCTCTGGACCACTTTTAGGGGAGTGCTTGCTCCATGGTTCCTCCACCTTCTCCTGTGTATTGGAAAGAAATACTGGCTCTTGGCATCTTGCTTGTCAGCTCTTAAATACACCTTACTGGGAAATCATATTTTTACAGTTCAGCAAATTTTAGAGCCACATAACTACTAAGCATGCAGTACCTTAGTCACACACATGTTAAATACTTCCTCTAGGTCTAGTGCTAGAACTGTAGCTATTACTATGATACCATGAAAGTATTTGTGTACAACACGGCTTTCCAGTGAAGATCCATTCTTTGAAGTTATATATGAGAAGCCATCTTGACCGAGTCAAGGGCCAAAGGTTAAGAATATTATTTGCAGATAATTTTAAAAGAAATAGTTTGATGTACAGCATACTATACATGTTCAAGGGGTATTATTTGATAACTTTTGATATATGTAGAAATTGAGAGAAACATCACACAATCAAGATAGTGAACATATCCATCACCCAGAAGGTTTGCTCGGGCCCCTTTGCTATTCTTCCCTCCGGTCCCTCTATGCTCCAATCCATCCATAAGCCACCACATCTCTGCTTCCTAATATTGTAAATAATTTTACCTTTTCTAGAATTTCATACAGTGGAATCTTATAAGATGTCCTCCTCATGGCGTCTGTGTAATCAGCATTCAAGTTGGAGCACATATTAATAATCTATTTGTTTCTATTACTGAGTAGTACTCCAAGCTAAAAAAAGTTTTAAGTTTTCTTGTAGAAATTGTATAGTTTTAGGTTTTATATCCAGGCCTATCACCCATTTTGTGTTAATTTTTGTACATAACATAACGTTTGATTCAAAGTCATTTTTAGCATATGAATATCCAGTTCTAGCGCCATTTTGCAGAAGTTATCTTTTCTTCACTGTGTCACCTTTATACTTTTGTTAAAAATCAGTTGCCACATATATATATTTCTGGACTCTATTTTGTTACATTGCTATCTTTATGACAATACTACCTGTCTTTATTAGTGTGACTTCACAACAAATTTTGAAATCAGGTACTATTAGTCCTTCAGCTTTATTCTTTTTTTTTTTCTAGTCTTTTTTTTTTTTCTGGTACCAGAGATCAAACTCAGGACCTTGCCCTTGTCAGGCAGGTGCAGTGCCACTGAGCTACATCCCCGGCCTTGTTCTTTTTTTTTTTTTCAAAGTTGTTTTGACCATTTTGAGTTCCTTGAAGTTTAGAATCAGCTTGTCAGTTTCTATGCAAATGAACTTTCTGGTGTTTTGAGTGGCAATAAGTTGAATTTATTTGGGAACATCTTATTTGGGAAGAATGAATGTCTTAATATTAATTCTTCTGAATCACGAACATGCTATTTCTCTTCATTTTTTTAGGTCTTAATTACTATCAACAATATTTTTAGTTTTTAGTATAGAAGACTTTCACACCCCTTGTCAGATTTGTCCCTTACTATTTCATATATTTAATTTTCTTGTAAATAGTGGTGTTTTTAAAATTTTACTTTCCAATTATATATTGTTAGTGTACAGAAATGCAATTGATTTTTGTTTATTTTCATCATGAATCACATATTATTGCTTCTGTGCATGCCTGGTAATTTAAAAAAGTTGGATTGCAGATTGTCTTAGTCAATTTGGTCTGATTTAAAAAATGACCGTAGACTGAGTGTCTCGTAAACTGCAAATATTTACTTCTTATAGTTGTTGGAGACTATAAATTCAGGATCAAGATGCCAGCATGGTTGATTCTGGTGAGCCCCCTCTTGTGGATATGGACTGCTCACTGCTCTCCATATGTTCACATGGCATAGGGTTGAAAGAGGAAAAGCAAACTCCCATATGTCTTTTTCTAAGGGGACCAGTCTCACTCATGAAGACCCTACCCCATGATGACCTGGGCACCTCGCCAAAGCCTCGCCAAAGCCTCACCTCCAAATACTGCCATAGAGGGAATTAGGATTTGAGGATAAGAATTTCTTTGGAGGGGGAAGATACAAACATTCAGTCCCTAACATGCGCAATGTGACTGTTATCATGTTGGGCATTGGATAGTATTTTTGTATTCCTATACTTTTGAGATTGGTTCTGGAGTGCAAAGAAGTTATTTGAGACCAAATTGATCCCTTCAGAAAAAATTTTCACCAGCAATCCCTCAGACAAAGGTCTACTATCTTGAAACTATAAAGAACTTAAAAAAATCAGTCTTCCCAAATTTAAAGACCCAATCCAAAAATGGGCATCTGAAATGAACAGACATTTCTCACACAAAGAAGTAGAAATGGCAAATAAACATATGAAAAAATGTTCAACATCACTGGTCATCCGAGAGATGTAAATAAAAACACCGCTGAGATTCCACCTCATCCCAGAAAGAATGGCTGCTATCAAGAAATCAACTAATAAATAGAATTAATATGAAAAAATGAAAAAAAGGAAACAAAGTCTTTGTAAATAGGGAGGGATGGAGAGGCTGAAGGGAGGGCAGGGGAAGGGGGAAAAATAAGAACCAAGAGAGTATGTAAAGGTGCATATCTCCAGTGATGAATGTCATTATATTGTACACCTAAAATGTACCAATAAAAGGATATACAAAAAAAAAAGAAATCAACTAATAACAAATGCTGGTGGGGCTGTGGGGAAAGAGGAACCCTGCTCCACTGCTGGTGGGAGTGCAGGCTGATGCAACCACTGTGGAAATCAGTATGGCGATACCTCAGAGAACTAGGACTGGAAGTCTCATTTGACCCAGCTATTCCCCTGCTGGGTATCTTCCCCAAAGAATTAAAAGAATCATACCACAGTGATATATGTGCACCCATGTTCATAGCAGCACAGTTTGTAATAGCTAAAACTTGGAAGCAGCCCAAATGCCCATCAACTGGAGACTGGATAAAGAAAATGTGGTTTTTTAAAAAATAAAATGGAGTACTACTCAGCCATAAAAAATGAGAAATTAGAGACACTTTATTGCTAAATGGATGCACATTGAGGCAATACTCTTAAATGAAACAAATAGGACACACATGTAAGTACTGAAGAGTTTTTCTAGTGTGAGAAACTGAAAGTGTAAATAAGGACTAAAAGGTATAACAGATAATGTGAAATAGGAAGAAAAGGGGCAAAGGGGAAGGGGAAGTGGGAGGGGTAGGGGAAAGGAAAGAAGGGAATGGGATTAATATGACAAAAGGAAAAAAATGGAAACAAAGTCTCTGTAAATAGGGAGGGCAGGGAAAGGGGGAAAAAATAAAAACCAAGAGAGATTATGTAAAGGTACAAATTTCCAATGATGAATATCATTATATTATACACCTAAAATGTACCAATAAAAGGATATAAAAAAAAATTGATCCCTTCAGGTCTTGCTTTTGAGATGTGTTAGGTAAGTGGAGAGCAGTACTCAGTTCAGGCCCAATTATCCCCCGCTGCTAACCAAGGTCTCTTGAGCTCTAGCTGTGGCCTGTGAATGAGAGAGTTTCCTGTCTGGCTGGTGGAAAGAGATAGTATTCTTGGATGGGCTTGAACACCAGACGTACTGCCTTTCATTTTGAGTAGTTTTTTCCCCTGCCCCTAGGAGTGGCCTCGCCTTACTGATGAGCATGAAGCTGAAGCCCCAAGGGGGATCCCCGTTTCTCTCCCTGAGCAGCACCCTCTCTGCAGCCTCCTGGCCTGGGAACTCTAGTCTCTCTAGACCCCGCCTCTCAGCTGCATCTCCTGGGCTCCTTGTCTGCAGGACTTTCCCTCACTGTGCTGTGAAAACTCTCACAGGCCTGATCCGGGCCATGGAAGACTCACTTCCTTTCCTTTTTCTCAGAGATCATTATTGCTTGGTACTTAGTTGCTTTCAAACTTTTGTTTCACATTTTCTATCTCAGGTATAATGGCAAATTTAATCCTTGCAACTCCATTTTGGTCAGACAAAACAAAAGTCTTAATTTTTAAAGTTTTGAGTCCCTGAACTTCTAGCACAAATGATTAGTTTTTGTCTCAGCTTTTCCAGTGCTGTTTTCCCAAACTTATTCTGTGATACAATATTTGGACTTTTTGTTTGACGGGTTTTTAGAACATGTTCCAATTTCTGTTGTGGTGTTTATTCTAGATGCTGTTAAAAAAGATAGTCATGTTAATTGGTAAAATATAGCTTTTAAAGGTAAGGGTAAAATAGTAACATTACTATTAAGTAATGTTATTTTAATAAGTATTCCTTGAGCTTTTACTGCAGCTAGGCCTTCTGCCAAGTTGCAGATATGGTGACGAATAAACATTGAATCTTTTTTTTGGCACTGGGGTTTGAACGTGGGTCCTCGCATTTGCACAGCAGGTGGCGAAACCGCTGAGCTAAATCCCTGGCCCATGAATAAACATTGAAAGAGTGGCTGAGTAAAGTGACAGAGTGGACAGTAAATGCAAAGGCCAGACACTGAGGGAAAACAAGGCATCTTGGGGAAAGAGTGACTAGATCTTCACGGGTCACCGTCTAGGAGAGACAGATGCTCCTGTAAGACACATCCCCAGAGTTTGAGCCCCACAGTGGTGGGATCTGCTGATCTTTATAACAAAGGCTGGTGCCTTCTGAGCTGTCATGATACTTGTTACCCATGGCTCCACATGTGTTTTCTCATTTCAGCATCAAAACAACCCAGTGAGGAGAAAGTACACATTGTTATCTCCTTTGTATACGGCAGAAACCCAAAACTTAGAGCAGCTAAGCCCAAAGTCATGCCATTGCCCTGGCTAAAGTGCAGACTCAGTTACACTCAGACTTTGACCACACATTCAATATCCACATTTCCCTACACGATAGTTAGTCGCACATTCATGGGCAGCAAATTATTGCCTTTGAAAAAAATGGCCTCATACTATGTGAAGTGAAAACCAAAGACTTTGCCCTCGAAGGCTCAGTCTGTAATCATGTTTTTCCTTTCTAGAACATCTTTTAGCAAAAGAGAATTTCTCATAAATATTTCTACTTTTATTCTAGTTTCCGTTTTTCTGTGTTAAAGCAAAAGTCACCTACCCTTGCTGTCACTGAGCAATTGCTCCTCTCGTCTTCTCGAGCTCTTTTGTCGGTGTAACCACCGGCCTTCTTCCCCTTTATAATTTTCCTGTTAGTGCCTTGCTTCTGCTCTGGAAAATGCTGGTCTGAGCTTTAGAGAACAGGAGCTTTTACAAGCCTCTAGAATTTGATTAGATGCTTGAATTTCACTTCAAGAATATAATTTTTCTCAAAAGACACCATCTCTTTTGCAATAATTTAAAAAAATTGAGTGACTATTATGTGCCAGGTACTCTTTTTTTTGGTACCGGGGATTGAACTCAGGTCCTTGTACTTGCACAGCAGGTGGTGAAACCGCTGAGCTAAGAGTACCCAGCTGTGCCAGGTACTCTTAGTACAACAGTGAACAAAGCCAAATAATAACAATAATGCCCATACGACACTTACATACTAGTGTGTAGAGTATTGACTATAAATAAATAAATTAGACTAAATAAAAATTATGAAAAACAAAGAATAAAGCAGAATTTATTGCATATGGCAACTTCATATTATATACAATTATTTCATTGCAACAGATGGAAAATAAATCACTTGGGGCCTTTCCTCATTTCAGATTAGTTCAGGTGATCCAAAACAGGAAAAGTTAAGAAATTCGCTTTTGTTAAGGGTACACATCTTATGATATTCTTATTTACTTTGAAACGTCTTTTTCTTAAATTTCAAAAATCAATCTGAGACCCAGAATTTGCCTTATAAGTATATACTTGAAGATAAATTACCCGCAGACCATGTAACTTCGGATGTTTTGATACATCTGATAAGTAACTTGACTAGGATTAGTTTTCAAGTAGTAATTTGGTTGTGAGTAGTCAAATGTTTGACTTGCGTGTGTTCTCTTCTTGAAGGTTAGGATCAAGACTAGAAGCTGGTCATGGTAGTATGTGCTACCTTGCTGCTCTGGAAGCTGAGGATCCCTTGAGCTCAAGAGTTTGAGACTAGCTTGGGCAACGGAGAGAGACCCTAACTTTTTAGACTAGACAAATGCTGTGGTCTCAAGGTTTGCCCCTGCTTCATATGTCGAAATCCTACCCTTTAATGTGATGGCATTAGAAATGGGTCCTTTAGGAGGTGATTTGGTCTTGAGGGCAGTGTTCTCATGACTGGAACTAGTGCCCTTATAAAAGAGACCCCGGCAAGAAGATGCTGCTACAAACAAGAAAGCGGGTGTTTATGAGACACCAATTCTGCCTTAATCTTGGACATCCCAGCCTCCAGAACTGCGAGAAATAAATTTCTGCTATTATAAACTAGCCAGTCTGTGGTATTTTGCTATTGAAAGCCGAAAGGACTAAGACAGCAAACATAAGAGTTATAAACATGAATGTGTCTAACTGTATATTTTGTTTACTCGAAGGCTAAGTCTTTGGTTAAAGGGAGTCAATTTCAAGTGGTTACCTAAGGAAATTTGGTAAAAATTCCACTGAGGTGAGTACTGCTTCAGAAAACAACATAGCAAAGTATTCCCCACCTGGAAGTGAGGTTAGTGATTGATGGAGTTTATGTTTGGTAGTTTTCCTCCTCATCTTCTTATCTTCTATGCTCAGGGTCCACTATCTGTGTTCATAGACGAGGTGGGGTTTGGGGAAAAGGGGGATTTGTACCATTTTACCTTGCCCATCTGTGGCCAATGCTCAGTGAGACCATTTACAAATCTCTGCTCTGCAGGCGCTAAGAACTCCACCTGTAAGAACAATAATAGCTAACGCTTATGTGGTAGGAACCTGTCTACGTACTTGAATCATCACTTCATCCTATGAGGTAAGTAAACTATTATTATATCCATTTTATAAAGGGAAGGAGACTGAGTCATAGTCAGCTACTAAGTGGTAAAATTTGAAATTTTAGCCAGGCAGTCTGGCCATGGAGTACTACCTTGACTCTGCATTATTGCCTTTCAGATACGAAGCTAATAATTTGCCACTACTGCCCTTGAGGTGTCTTGTCCACCAGGGGAAATAGATGCAGCCGTTCATTCATTTGTTCCTTCCTTCAGTGATGATGAGCACTTGCTCTGTATCAAGAACTACCTACCCTCAGAGCTTGGTGGACATCTTGTCCCTATGGAACTTAACAAACTGTCATGAAATGTGGCAGATGCAAGATGGACACAGGTACAGAGTATTATGGGACCCCCAAATGGTCCTGGGTATTAGGGACAGCTTTCTGAAAGAAAGTAATATTTGGAGTTTCATTTCTAAAGATGAATCTCATCTCTCCTGTTTAAAATACCACAATTCCTCAGAGACCTAATGTTTTAAGTTGAATCCATTATTTTCCAACTGACTGACTAATTCTCTCTTGCTGAGCAGGTTCTGATGAGCAGTGGATGAGAAATGGACCTTCTTGGGGTTGGGTAGCTGAAGCATTGAAAGAGGTCTTGCTGGACAGGAGAGGGGAGGCAGAAGATTATAAAAGGCAGATTTTTTTCTTGTTTCCCAGTTTTCCATTTCTAAATCTTTCTCTAGCTGGTCCTTCAGGGGCCCAGTGCTTTCTGTCACTGTGATGAGATATCTGAGGTAAAAAACCAACTTAAAGGAGGAAAGGTTTATTTTGGCTCATGGTTTTAGAAGTGTCAGTCCATGGTCAGCTGGCTCCAAGGCAGAAACATCACAGTGGAGGAGCATGGTGGACAAAAGCTACTCAAGAGCCGAAAAGGGGCCAGGGACATGATAAAACTTTCAAAGCCATGTCCCAATGACCTGCTATATCCAAGTAGGCCTCACCTCCTAATAAACCCACTGAGCTATGAACTCATCAACGGATCAATGGATTAATCCATTGATGAGGTTGGGGCCCTCCTGATTCACTTTTATAAGCCCATCAGCTAGCTACATCACCTTTTGGGGGGACATTTTGGATAACAACCATTTCAGTTAACTTCTTAGTTCCTCTTGGAAAAAACCTACTAGTTTAAATTTATCCATTTTAAAGTCATTTTTAATATTGTGTTCTGGGTGGATGATCAGCCCTTTGAAATCAAATATCACAGACACCTATATATTCTAACAGTAAAAAAGGCAAAAGTTACTCAAGAAACCATTTGTCTGTGACTTCAAGACATCCATGGGTTGGGGCCTGAGGCTGCCACAGAAAAAATACTTCCTAAAGAGAGGGACTCCAACGTGGAGAGTCACACTGGCCACATGATGTGTGAGCTCTGTTTTTGAGAAAGGGTGGAAAGGGTAGTTTGCCCCCTGGCACAAAAAGACTGGTTTGTCTTGTGAAGCTTACATTCTTTATTGTCTCTTTGTAGACCATTATAGCATAGGAGCATTTGACAGCAGGTAGGTAGGTAGATAGGTAGTGCTTAAGTATAAAAAAGGAAAACAGAGCAAGGTAAAGGGAGATGGGTGGATGAAGTGCAATTTTTGATGGTGTAGTCAAGGAGAGCAGTTTCTGAGATGGTGACCTTTAAGCAAGGCTGCATGAGAGGGCAAGCAAGTAAATGGTGGTGGCCAGGATGTGCCGGAAGAGCCACCAGACAGAGGCCATGTGGTAGCCGCGAGGGTAGAGACACTGCCATGCATTCGTAGGGGTTTGGGTCTCAGTATTAAAGTGCCAATCCTGTAGCTTTCCCTGAGGAGAGGAACTGTTTTCTCTCAAAGGTGGAAGGTCTTAGCTAGTTACCATGACTGCTTTGCCTGTCACTACCCCTCAGTCGCCAGGGCTTGGGGAATGGGGGCACGGGACAGGCTGATTGCAATGAGGAGGGAAGGTTGGGAGCGGAAGCTTGCCTGGCCCAAAGATGCCACAGTTATGGGCCCCGGGGGAGCTGATGTCCCTGGGGCAGGAAGGGTTTCCAACACGGCAGAGATGGAGAGGAACCAAGCAGAGTTTCACACATCAAAATCTTACTCCGAACCAATTCCAGATGCTGGAACAAAGCCTTGTCCCTTCCCTCCCCCATGTCCTCCCTCCTCTTTGATGCAGAGAGTTATATAAATTCCCACTCTTAGCTCACCACTCTTTTATGGCTTGACTGGTCTATGCAGTACCTTGGAGTGAAGTTTTAATCTTTTTGGTTTTGGTACTGGGGGTGGAGCTTGGGAGAGTTCTAGCACATCCCCACCCCTTTTTATTTTCAGACAGTTGTCCAGGCTGGCCTTGAACTCAACATCCTCCTGCCTCAGCATCCCGAGTAGCTGGGATGACAAGTGAGCATTTTCAAGCTTCTCCAGTGGAATTGGCCACTTGTCCTGCAGTCACCTGCTGTGGACACTGGAGGCTCACAAGCTCAAAGGCTGTACCCCTCCTGAGGATGGACACATGGGTGGGGATTTTATATGCTGCTTTACTTGTCATCTGATTCAACTAAAGCCTTCTGTCTCCTTTGAGATGGGTGTATGAAGTGCAGTTTTCCTTTCACACCCATACTTTTTAAAGATGCCCTGGATTGAGCCAAGGAGGAGGCCCGGTGCAGCTGGCAGGTGGCCTTGGGGATGGTGACATGGGCCAGCCTCCCTGCAGTAGCTCTTTCTACCAGATGCTGAACAGCTGTTCATCAGAGCAAACGCTGCAGACAGCTGCCCCTAGCCTTCTCAAGGAACCAATGACACAAGTTAGCAAAGCATTGGATTAGAGCCCAGGGAGTCTCTGCCTTGCTTGCTATTTATAGCAACATCTGTCCTAAGGCAGCTCTGTGTACAGGAGAGAATTTCTGAGCAGACTTGCTTCCAATAAATTTTCAATAGTAATTCTTATAAAAAGCATGACCTGTCCCTGTCCAGACTTGAGCAGGGCAATAGTAGTATTGAAAAACTGTGTCACAAAGAAGCTTGGAGGGGACCGGAGCCTGTTAGGTAGTATAAGACTCTTGCATGGTGTCTGCCACCAGATCAGCTGCCACATCTCAGAATCCATGCTGCCTTGTGACTCACTACCTAACTCCTGCATGTGGGCTGAAATTTGAAGATGGGAGGAAGGTAAATAATCAAACAGTTGTCATAGACATGCCCTTTGTTGGACTCATGAAGATCCCGGTGCTGAATACTTCTGAGGATAATGTTCTCCCTAATGCCAGGGATGACTAATATTTCTTAACAGTATCAGTTTTATCATCAGGCAATTTCAAAAGAGGTGAGCTCAGTTAAAATATTGTAGTTGGAAATAATGTTTCTTCAGGCTTCGAGTTCCTTCCAAAACATACACATCACGGTGACAATGTTTATTGAGAAATAATAATAAATCAATAAAATATGTCATGTAAAATGATCACAGTTTTTAAATGACTGGAATCCAAATATAACATTAATTATTCACTTGAAAAAGGTATAGGTTTTTAAACTAACTTGTAAATTTGCCTAGAAGCTTGGAGTTTTAAGGATCTTTGTGGCTCCCTGAATGAATTCCAGGATCATTGAAGGTGAAGTATGGGGGTGGGAAAACCAGAGACCCTCAAAGGTCAGTAGAAAGCCTATCCATGATTTGAGCTTGGGTACTCTTTTAAACAGCACCTGAGGATAGGACTTGGGTGTAGGCAAATGTAATACTGGAAAGTAGGAGTTAGAGAGTGGAGAGAGATAGGGAAGGGGAAAAAGCCAATGTAAGTGCATATTTAGTACCAGTACCCTTGAGCATATTAATTAATCATTTGCTGCTGTAACAAATGAAAATAAATGTAGCAACTTAACACAACATTGACAAAATTAGCACCTTTCAGTTCTGTAGGTCAGAAGTCCAAGGTAGGTCTCACTGAGCCGAAATCAAGATCCTAAAGGGGAAAGGATCCTTTCTTTCTCTTTCCCAGTTTCTAGAAGATACTTGCATTCCTTGGCTTGTGTCCCTTCTTCCATCTTCAAAGCCAACAATATTACATCCATCAGACCCTTTTTCTGTTATCATGGGTCTTTCTGTCCACATCTGAGAGAAAGTCTCTGTTTTGAAGGACCCATGTGAGTAGACTGGGCCCACATTGATAACCCCGAATAAGCTCCCCAAGTCAAGGTTTGGAATTCAATCACATTTGAAAGATTTCCTTTGCCAGGAAAGAACATATTCACAGGTTCTGGGGTTAGGACATGGGCATCTTTGGGGGGCCGTTTTCTGCCTACTAGGCACTGGGTCACTGGAGTTCTCTTCCAGTACAGTGGTGAACAACATATGGAGCCCTAGAGTTGTCCAACTGAAATACACAGGCCCGAGAATTTCTCTTCCAGTTCACATTGCCTGTTTGTTGAGGGTCCCTCTGAGAGACAACCTACCTGCATCTGCAGCCTACTATGGCTGGGGCCAGGGCCTCTGGTGGTGTTGGGAACCAGAATATCCTACACTCTGTCCACACAGATGAGAAAATATACCAAGAAACTGTCTCCCATTGCTGCAGTGAAACAGGGATGGCTCAAGTGAAGGTGATTGGTGAGCAGCAGGTACCTGCAACATTCAACACTGTCACTTAGTTACCTAAGGGTCAGTTAGGCCTGGAGCTTGGACACCTGAGCTCAGCCCAAGCCCTGCCATTCACTGTGAGGACTTCACAGGCTAACGTTACACCTTTCCTATGCCCCAGCTTCCCGCATTGGTTATATGAGATGGATTACTAAAACCACACAGAGTAGTCCTGTTACACGCACTAATGTGTACAAAGCAGCTGATACGTAGAGAGTGGCCAAAAAGAAAGGAGCAGTGGGAATTTTCATTCACAGATTCAAAGAAACATTTATTGGTTGACAGGCTATGGAGTGACTGCCTTAAATAAGACAGACAAGGCCCCAGCCTGCACAGAGGAGCCTCCCTTCCAGTGGGAGAGCCACAGACCATCAGCAAAGAATTACGCCAGACCTTACACGAATAGGGTGACACAAACAGAATACAACGGAACAGGGTCTGGCCAATGCTGGTCAGTCCCTTCCACTCCCAGCTCTGGACCTTCTAATGGGACCTTAGCATGTTCAAGGAAGCAGATGGGACTCATGATGGTGAGAGGCCTCTTCCACACCCCAGGAATAAATCATGCTTGGTCTAAATCACTGTGACATCCCATTCCCAAGGGCGAGTAACTAGCTTGGACCTAGTGAGACTCAAGGGCCAATGGGCTGGTGAGACAAGGGAGGCTTCAGCTCCTGCTTGGTGAGGGAAAAGTCTTTTGCCTTTTCCCCACACTCAAACAAAATAAATGAGCCATCCGAATTGGCAAGGGTCCTCTTCAGATGATGAAAGCAAGCATGAAGATGAAAGTCTGTGCCGGGGATTTAGCTCAGTGGTTTCGCCGCCTGCTGCACAAGTGCAAGGACCCGAGTTCAATCCCCAGTACAAAAAAAAAAAAGAAAGATGAAAGTCTGATAGAGTAGAATGCTCCTAGGGGCCAAGTCCTGAATGACATTCTCAAGCAGCTGGGCTAAAGCCAGTAGCTACCTCTCATGGTGGCTCATGGAAGAAAAATACACATCTACTTTTTAAATGCTACAACTAGGCTGGTGTTCTGCGGCTCGTAGCTCAACATGTTCTCAGCTGATGCAAGTAGACCAAACTGATGTTTAATTTGAGACTTGAAAAATTAGCTGCCAGAAAGAGCCTGAGAAAAGCATTTGGGCAGAAGGAAGTAAAAAGAATCCTCTGAAAGTTTGGAGTACGTGAGGAGGAGAAAGAAGACCGTGGGTGCTGTCCCCGAACCTTGACTTCAGGATAAGAAATTTTATTTTAAAAAGTAAAACAGCATGGCCAGGGATTTACCTGAGTGGTGCTGCTGCCTGCCTTGAAAGCGCAAGTTCCCAAGTTTGATCCCTGGTACCAAAAAAAAAAAAAAAGTAAGACTACAATGGTATATGGCAAAGGAATAATATGTGGATGCAGGAAATTGTAAGTCTCACCCTTGCATGGGAAACTGCAAGACCTATGATTTTGATGGTTATTAAAATAGAGTTATTAAAATTATGAACTCAGACAGTGCAGGACTCTAATAAGCAGGTGTTAGCAAAGAATCTTAGGAAGGTGAAAGATGTAACTCAGTTGTCATGGAGAGACAGGCCCTGAGCTGTAAACCCTTTTATAGCTCCTCATTAAGGAAAAGGCTAGGAAAATCTTATAGGATATCCTATTTAAAGACTCTTAGAATATCAGTCCTAACCCATGTTGGGGTTAAGGCCCCTTTTAGTGGGATTGAGCCTTATTCTGTTCTTGCTCTGATGAAGGTGTGCTGGCTAGTTTATAAGAACTTTTAAAAGATACATCCAGACTTTAAAAGTGCAATGCCATCCTAAAACATACTAATTGGCATAGGAAACTATTCTTCCCACTATCTGTAATTCCTTGGGATTTGAATTCTTTTTATATTTTTCCCCAAGAACGTATCAACTCTGGGGCTTTCTTCTCTCATATCTGATTGAAATAAATGACCCTGACACATTCATGGTAATAAGTGTCTTGAACATTTATTCTTAATAGAGAATATTCTGGACAGACATGATCTGCCTGATGCATTAAAAAAATCACTCCAGCTGCTATGCGAAGAGGGATTTATAGGGGAATAGAGCGGATGCAGGAGCTGGTGAGGAGGCTATTATAGTACCCTCAGAAAAAAAACTGGTGGTCTGATAGGAGGGGCAGTGGTGAGGACACAAATGTGGGCAAATTTGAGACGTTTGTAGGATGAAGAGCTGAGAGGACAGGCAGGGGAAATGAGCGAGGACTCACAGAGTTTTGTCTTGAGCGATGAGGTAGTGACACTTATTACTGAATTTGGGACATATGGGGGAGGAAGAGTTCTGGGTAAATAAAGTTTAATTCTGGGCACAGACTGCTTAATTAAGATGCTCTGTTGGGATCCACATGGAGATGCAAAGTAGGTAGCCAGTGTACATGAAGATGGGATTCAGCACAAAAAAGCACCTGTTTAGAGGTGCAGCTCAGAGGCACATTTTATTTATAGAATCAGTGCCACCCCCATTCCAGACAAAAAGTAGTTTGATACTGAAAAGAATAGCACTAACTCGTTTTGCTGAGCCACTGCTATGGTCTGGGTGACTGATCTCTAAAGGTCCCTATGTAAAAGATTGGATCTCCACGGTGGCGCTCTTTGGAGGTGGTACACTATGGAAGGTCCTCTGGTCACAGGGAGGGTGCCCCTGGAAAGGACTGTGGGATGCCAGCTGCCTTCTCTCTCTTTGCCTGGTTTGAGATGTGAGCACTTGCTTTGATACATGCTCCTGCCATTGGCATCTGCCACCCTACCCAAAGACTTAAACCAGTAGGACTGCCTGATCTTGGTCTTAGAACCTCTAGAACTATGAGTCATAGTAAACCTCTTTTTACCTCATAAGTAGCCTATGTCAGGCATTTTGTTATAGTGACAGAAAACTGACTATTACACCTGCTGTACTCTATGTTCTTTTGGAAGCCCTGGACATGCACAATTTGTGTTAGGTGCACCTAAGTATAGTAAATAGTCTACTCTGCAGTCCCCAGTGACAATCCATCAATTACCAAGGCACAATCATGGGAGCTCATGCTGACAGTGACTAGCAGGGGCCCACATGGACAGCTAAGCCCTATTAACTGTGTGACTCAGATAATTGAAAGCTGGCTGTGTCTTGGGTGACTAAGACTCCTTTGAAAAGCATGTCTTTAAAAGAAAATGTGGGGCTTGGGTGGTATTTTAGTGCTTGGGTTTTAGAAAGCTACATGGTGTTTTTTCTACCTGTGTTCAAAAGTCACTTCAAGCCAGAGAGGATTAGCAGGATCAGAGCTAAGTGCGAAGCTCTCTTGTGTCAGCTGCTTTTCATCAGCGTGGTGTTGGTGTGAGAACCGCTCCAGGAAATGGAGCATCCTGTGTGTCAGCCGGGAGCAGTGTGGGGACAGAGGCTGAATAAGGTTATTTTGGTGGTTAATTACTATTTTCATCTGAAGTCTTTGGCTTAGTTATATCTTAGAAGTATGCGCATTTGGCCAGCTGTCTCTGGGTAGCTAACTTCACCCCTAATTTAAAAGGTTCCATCTACAGTGGAAGAGCACTTTCTGGAAGAAGTATGAATGTAAACCAGAGCAGAAGCATGGCTTTGTTTCTGTCTGGTGTTCACAACCTTTTCTAAGTCACTTTTGATGACCATGGAAATTAAGGTCCCCTAAAAATCCTGACATTCCTCTTCCATTATCAGCATAATGTCATCAAAACTAAGTGGGAAATGAATAGTTGCTACCAGGGTCTTGGGGAGGATGAG